ACACACACACACACACACACACACACACACACACACACACACACACACACACACACATATATATATATATATATATATATATATATATATACATATATATATTTGTCGAGCGCGCGCGTTTAATGACGCTTGACATAATTATAAAATTATATAAAGACTTGAATAATATATAATTATATTTAACAAAAAAAACGTACTCAAGTATGGAATCTATGACAAACGTCTCTTGGCGAGGGAAAACAAATTGTTTTGGATGAAATAGGGATGTGCTCAGTATAATCAACACTAATAGAACCTTCAAGGAATATGTTAACCCTATCAAAAACTTTACGGCAAAACGTTGCTCGCAATGATTATCAGATAAACAATTGATCGTCCAAGAGTCTTGACTCAAGAAAATGACCAATATCACAAGAAGCGCAAGATTATATAATCCATTTATGTAACTCGACAGATTGATTCCCAGGAAACGCGAAACTTTTTCCAAAGATTCACTTGTAGAAACTAAAAGTTGCTTTTTCTTTCGATCCATTGTAGTATATAAGTTATTCTGAAAATTTTGAATTGGATTTATTAAAACAGACAAGCTAAAGATATAATCAATTAATTTATCATTAATATCCGTTGAACATGATATATTTACCTAATTTTTATTTGATTTTGGACAATTCTGTTTATCGTATTCACTGTTGTACAACTTATACACGTGCGTATCAGAAATTCTACTGACACATTGTACGTGGGGGTCTATGATTTTATCGTTACTTTCAATCGTAGCGTTTTATTGATCGCTGAGAAAATAAATACGCATTATCGTAACACAACGCGTTAACATGTAATAGCATGAGTTATATTGCGATGAAAATTGCTTTTTGCTTTTATGATCGACATATATGTAATAAAGGTTTGTTCTTTTTTAAAAAACTTCTTGAATTGGCGCATATTAGTGCAATAAAAGTTAGAGTGAAACAAATATACTTGTCCAACTCTAATTTATAATATATATCTATTTCATTTTAAGTACAACGCGAGTGTACACTATATATTAGCACAATTTGATTAGACGCTTTTAAATTCATTGAAGAGAAAAATAAAAGATCAGTATCTAGAATATCTAGATGGTTTTAAGAAGATTTTTCAGCAAACACCAACTAACAGTAACATCGCGTCATTATTATTATGTCTCATGTTATTATTAGTTGGTGTCCGCTAAGTTATTTTAATGGACAAAACAATTACCAGATAAAATACAATTTGCAAATTTACTGAAATGTCTTCTTATTTATATTATTGTAATTATTCAGCCTCTTATTTGTATCATTGTTAAACGAAGAAAATTGCTGAAAAAACTAATTGATGTTGAAACTAGAAGTAACTTTAAGATTTTTGGCAACTGAAGATTCTTTGAAAAATTGGCTACGGCTGGGTATTCTACATTAATTAAATATAATTATTAGTATTATATATACATTTTTTAAATAGATGTAGCCATCATAATTTCTTTTTTAATTTTAAGTTTTTAAATTTTTATAAATTGCTTATAAACTATTAAGAATTTTAAGATTATTTAAATCATGCGATAACACTTGTAGAATTATTTTTGGTGTGATTTTATGTAGTAGTAATAGTAGTAACAGTAGTAGTAGTTGCATTCTCTGCATTAATAAATTTTCTGTCAAATTGAATGATCATAACTGCATACGTTGCTACAGCTCCAGCAACCTAGAAAAATAAAACTTTATTTAACACGCAGCATTATATTATTGTGCAAATAAATATAGAAGTATATTTTTTACTTACGGAACACATGAGAGGAATATTGATTTCAAATAGTCCTAAAGCAGTAAACTTTAAATTCTCATGGACCAGCTGAAGTGAAAAATGCACCACCTAAATAATAAATATATAAGTTTATACAAAAGAGTATCCAAAAATATTTTGTATTTAAAAAGTTACATATAAATAATCTTACTTCAGCTCGCAATGATTTATACTCCAGGAAAGCATTATGCAAAATGATTGCCATTTGCCTAAACTAAAAGTAACAAAATTAAAATCACGCTCTCACGCTTATGCCACGCTCTCTCATCTAACTATGTTCGCATGCACATCCGACATGCGCACGAATATATGAATATTGGAAACTATTGGTAATATCGAAAAATATTTTAGACAAAAAGCTAGATGGCTTCGAAAAGGACGTAATCTGATTTCAAAAGTTTTTTTAGCTAAAAGTGCAGACAAAGTACAAGATTACCTTCGTTTTGCTTCAAAATGAAATTATATTATGTATAGTTTAGGTCTACTTAATTCGTTTTTTATTAAGATTTAGAAGAGGAAAATTAACACATACTATATAATTGATGCGAATTACGGAGTGCTCTGTATATTTATAAATAAGCAAGTAAATAATACTCAACTGCATTTTTCGATTGCTGACAAATGTAACTGACGTGCAGAAATTGAAGAGCATAGAAGACTGCCATGAGTAGCTCATTTATTATTGCGAAGATGCCAAGGTTTGTTTTTATATAATAATATACATTATAAAAATTATTAATTATAGAAGTCAAATATAGAGCAGACATTATGAGAAGTGGTAGACTAAAATTTGTATTTATCTGGTGGTAAAAATGAACTCGTATTAGTAAGAATTACTAAAGAGAATGATAATTTGAATTATAACAGTAATTCATGCTATACAACATAATTGTATTCGAATCTTCGTATTTTTAGTATATTAGGATGAAATCAACATTCGTAAAAATTGTAGTGCTATAAAAATAGAGAAGTTTAATCTTTAGATAGCTACATTATAAGACGTTATTCTGACAAGAAGAAAAGAAATATTATTTTAATTTATACCAAATTTAGTAATTAAGAACTTTTGAGATTGCTAATTATAATACGAATTTGAAATCAAAATCATCAAATTTAAAGTAACTGGGTATGAAGGCCTCTACGGGTTAATTGTTAATTGATTATAAATCCATAGTTTAAGCTGCGATATGATGAATAAATTAATAATCAATTAATCAATTGCAGATCAATTGATAAATTACAGATAACATTATTAAAGTTACCTTTGTCGCTAAAATATACAATTTATGATGAATATGTTGAATCGAACGGAATTTGGTAATTACAGCAATGTTACATTTATTAAAAAGTAAATTTGAACTTGCGGTAGAATCAATATAAGAAATCGATAGGTTTTCTCTTGAATGCTGTACTGCGATCTTATTCAATTCGCGAGATCTCAGATATATATCGTATATGTAATGACTGAATAACCCATTCGTAATTAATATGCACATTCTGCAGTACCCGTTAAACACGTAAATGCATATATTTACAAAACGTGTATCATCTTCGATGATTATAAAGTACAATAAGTACAATAAGTACAATAATGCTATTATCGCGGTCGCGATGTCCTGCAGATGCACGAGGAAAATATCTTTGTTTGTGAATTGTGCGCCGTACAATCTGAAATATGAAGCAATCGAATATAGCTATAATAAAATAACGTATTTATATTGGCTAGAACATAATAGATATTATGAGTAATAGAATGCAGTTGTGCAATAAGGAACCAATCGCCATTTTTATGTGCGATTTTTAGCTCTGCATTGCCAAATGATCATAAACTGGAGATTTTCTGTAAAAACGCATATGACACATGGAATTGTATTTGAGGAAGATTATAGACATTATATTTGTGATAACGTTGGCACAGAATTTTATTTCTAATATATATTTTGCGGAATTTATTCTAGCGGAAAAGTTTTTGGAATTAGTTCCACATTGCAGTACTGCGTCCAATATACTGTCTAGATCTCGTAAATATTGATTACAAATTACTGAAAAAATTTGTGATTTAGGCGGCACGAAAAATCTCCGAATGTCAAATGATTATAACGATAAATACATTACCGCTCATTAATTTCAAATACACCCCCAGATTCGTTGATTTCTCTGTAAAGGATGAACATGATACGTGTGTTTTGCACAGAAATGAATCCACTTGCTGTTATAAACACTTCACTTGCATGCATCGTATTTTTATACATTATTTACATATAAATCCTTGAAAACTGTAGTTTTCGAAGAAACGGGGGCTAACAGCCGGATAGTGTCTGATCCCTGGAAATGAAGAAAATACGCGCGTAAGATCATTTAATTTGATCTTACGCGCGTATTTTCTTTATTTCCAGGGATCAGACAGTTTCCGGCTGTTAGTCCCCGCTTCTTCGAAAACTACAGTTTTCAAGGATTTTTATATAAATAATATATAAAAATTCGATGCATGCAAGTGTCGGAAGTAATTATAACAGCAGGTACATTTATTTCTGTGTAAAACACATATCACAATAATAATAATAATAAACTTTATTAACGGGTAATAAACCCTTTAGCGTACAAAGAGAAAAGAAAAACAAGAATGCAATAAAATTAAAATTTTACAACATAATATGGAGAACATTTAGGTTACACAAGTAGACGAGAAAGTTTTTGTTTAAAAGTTGATACAGAGCCACCAAAAATGTCAACCCTATTGGAGAAATTACTTGCAGATATTATTAGCCTATTTACACAAGAATTTGCGCTATACAAAGTACGGTGATACCCAGTGTGGAAGATGGAGTACTGTCTTAATTCTCTAGTCGGGATGTTAAAATAGATACGTTCCAACAAATCCGGACAATCAGTAAAGTGATTGAGAAGCTTAAAAATAAATGTAAGGTCAAAGGTTAGTCTCCTACTTTCTAACAATAGCAGATTTAATCTATCTAATATAGCGCAGTAGTCATGGCAAGTAATTGACATGGGATTACCTAGCCGATAAGCAGTCATACGCAGGAATTTGTGCTGCACACGTTCAATCAATAACTGATGGCATTTAAAATACGGAGACCAAACTATGGAACGGTACTCTAACTTGGGGCGAACTAACGTACAGTATAATAATTTTAAAGTGATTATATTCTTAAAAAATCTACCCCATCGAAGGATGAATCCAAGCGTTCTATAAGCAGATGAAACTATTGATTGTATATGTGTATTAAATGATAAGTCCGCACTGAATAAGACCCCGAGATCTCGAGCTGCGCGCACTGCTGAGAGAGGTAAACCATCAAGAGTATAGTTATATAATTATGAGTTACGTCTATGAGTAAAATGAATGACAAAACATTTAGAGGCGTTAAGCCGAAGACAGTTCCTCCTACACCAGGCCTCAAGTTCAAATAAGTCATATTGTAATAAAAGTGCATCAGCAGGTCCATTAATCCGACGCGACGGTATAATTTAAGGTCATCAGCATACAATAAGAAGAAGCAGAATTTAATAGAAGCAGCTATGTCATTAATAAACAAAACAAATAAAAGACGAGGGCCAAGATGTGAGCCCTGCGGCACTCCAGACAAAACATTTATACTTCTGGAGAAGCTATTATTAAATTTTATGACTTGAGACCTGTTTGATAGGTAGCAAAATATCCAACGCAAAAGAGAACCTCCGAACCCTAGAGATCGAAGTTTACATATTAATATTGTATGATTAATTAACAATAAGTCAAAGGTTTTTCTAAAATCGGTATAAACTGAGTCAACCTGAGATCCACTCTCAACAGCAGAAATTAAAAAATTGTAATAATTAACGAGATTTGTCGTCGTCGAGCGTCCCGGTACAAATCCACGTTGTTCTTTTATAATAATGATTTTATAATAATTGTTTTCCAGCAACAATACCTTCAAATATTTTCGGCATAATATTTTGTTTACACATAGGATCATGTTCATCCTTTACAGAGAAATCATCAAATCTGGGAGTGTATTGAAATTAATGATCGGTAGTGTATATTATAATATTAGTTATTGCATACTTATTGCATATGAGAAGATTATTTACAATATTTTTATAAGAAAACTTTATTGCTCTTTGTCTTAAATAAACATAATGTAATGAAAGCATTAGATGTATTTTTTATGTCTCTAGTGACTTAAATACTTTGCATTTAAACGCGGCACACTTAAAGATAGATATATTTAACAAAAAAAATGCCAACAAATTTATTATACATATATCTTATTAGTAATTTTAATGATAAAGGGTAAAATCGATCATTAAATAAATTTCGTGATTATATATACGATAATCAATTTACGTTACTTTACGAATTGAAGAATCGTTATCTCATTTAGCATTAATTATAAGCATATATTGTATGTATAATTAAGTACTTGATTAAATGTCTGATTTTATATTCAATTTTAAGCAGCTAATCTTTTAAATGTTTTTTAGGAGTATTTTTTTTTAACGGTATGTTTTAACGGTATTTTAAAATTAGTATAGATATTTGTGGAAAGATTTTTACTATATGTATAAAAGTATTATAAGCTTGATTGCATACACTTTAGGGTGTTATTTTATCCCGCAACTATGTATCTTCGTCAAGCGCACGCATTCAGTTTGGGCCCCGAGTGAACAGTCATGAGACACATATTAATCACGAAGTACAAAACAGAAGATTTTAATTAGGAATCGAATTTCTAAAAATCTCTTCTTAGTTGGTGCTTACGTCATAGAAGGAATATATATACTCCCTGAATTTCATGTTTCTAGGTTTAGGGGTTTTGGGCTAGGCGTTGATAAGTCAGTCAGTCAGTCAGTCAGTCCAGGACATTTGTTTATACATGTATACTTTATATAGATTTGACAAAAGAAACTTACTCAAGTATGGAATCCACGATGAACATCTCTTGGCGAGGGAAAGCAAATAGCTTTGGACGAAATAGAGATGTGCTCAGTATAATCAGCATTAATAGAGCCCTTAAGGAATACACTATCAGAAACTTTACGGTAGAACGTTTGCATTTATATTTATTTTGACACTCATGAGATGTATAATTTAAAAAGATGACCAATAGCACAAAAATCGCAAGATTATTTAATCTGCCTACGTAACTATTGATTCCCAGGAGACGCAAAACTTTTTGGAAAGATTTACTCGTAAAAACTAGAAGTTGCGTTTTCTTTGAATCCATTGGAGTATATAAATTTTTCTGAAAATTTTGAATTGGATTCATTGAGAGAGGCAAACTAAAGGTATCAATTAATTTATTATTAACATCCGTCAAAAACACGATGTATTTACTTTATTTTATAGACAATTCTGTTTATCGTATTCACTGTTATACAATTTATACGTACGTGTCAGAAATTATACTGACACGTTGTACCGTAGGGGGGTTTATGATTTTATCGTTACTTTCAATCATAGCGCTTTATTGATCGCTAAGAAACTAAACGTGCATTATCGTAACACGATGCGTTAACACGTAGCATTAGTTATATTGCGGTGGAAACTTTTCGATTTTATGATCAAAATATATGTAATAAATTTATTAGTTAATTTGTTATGTATGTATACACGCTCGTTAAAATAATCACATGAAAAAACTATTGAACGTAATGTTTCTTTCCATATACACTTTAAATTTCAAGTGAAATCTTATTTCATAATATTTGCATAATTGTTAAAACGCATATTATATTAGGACACACATGCATGCTAATATTGCGCGATATGTAATTTAATAAAAAGCAATTCTAAAACGAAAAAATTTAATAAAATACGACAGACGCAGTGTTAAATGGTTTGTATTATTATAACAAGATAATTATTTAAAAATGAATCACTTTTTAGATTGCACGATAATATTTCTCTACAAATTTTTACTTCTATAATAATAAATAATAAAATTTAAAAAATGTATGGAAATATTTACGTTTTTATTCGTATTCATAACCATTATCGCAAAATTTGCCTTCGGATGTTGCATGAGACTCGAGTATCTGTCTAATATGTGACATTCCTGTAGCATCAGATTCTTCTTTATCAAGGTAATCGCCATTATCATATACTGTAATAAAAATGGATAAGTAATAAAGTCTATGCAGGACATTTAGTACTAGTATGATAATTCATGATAAGATAAAGATAGTCTAAAGCTTTCTTCAGATAATGATTACACAATTGCCTAATTAACCGCCTTAAATTATTGCTTCGTCTAATGGAGAGAAGAATGGAAGATGGCGCCAGTGGACAGATTCTATTTAAAACGCGAGCATGATGTCCACTTTCAGGCTCCTCTCTGATGGTAGCATCACAGATATTCGATAAAGAAGATAACTTTCCAAGATAACATAACAGATACACATGATAATATATAATATTTTTCCAACTATTGAATCTATAATTAAAAAAAAATATTTAATCTTTATTCTAATAATATTAAATGTAATTATATTTTAATATTTTCTCAGAATATATTTCATAATGTATAATAATTATTTAAAGTATCCTTTGAAGGTAAAACTATATTGTTGGTACACCAGATTACATCACTCTCCTGGTGCACTCTATAGGAAAACTATTAATGTAAAATGTAATGCGGAAATTTAGAAATGTAATGTATCATGTAACATGTGAAGTAAGTTATTAATCTTCCTCCTCCTCATCATCTGTTTCTTCTTCTTCTTCTTCTTCCTCCTCCTCTTCCTCCTTTTTATCTAACATTCCTTTTTCTCCTACAGGAAAAAATTATTTTAGGAAATGTAAAAAAATAAAAAATATATATATACATTGTAATTATTATATTTTAGAATTATTTAAAAAATATATATATTTTTCTTTAAGCAATCACCCATTGGTAATGTTGGTGATGGTAAACGCGTTAATTGATAAACCTCTTCTTCTTTGACAGTAGGATCACGAATTTCCATAATCTCCGGTCCAATTTTGTACTGATCTTGAACAGGTGGCATATCAGAAGGACTATAATTATATACGTTGTATTTGTGGCCCCAGCCAATATACATAGTAGCGAAGCGTCTGTAAAATGACATCATTAAAATCATATTAGCGTAATTCCATGCGCATTAATTTCCTTATAGTGTAATTATAGTGCAGCATAATTTCTTTTTTTGTGTTATCATTAGCCGCAAACTTTTGCAGTGGAATGCGATGATCATTGAGTACGTGATAAGTTACGCATGAAATAAATTTCAAGTTGTTTTGCATTAAATTTGACGCTGTGTAAAATTTAAATAAAATTGTTTTGTATTTTAATGTATTAATAGTTGGCTCTTAAATTAATTTAAATATTAATATTGGAAAAAAAATTAAATGCACTTGCGTACTTTCCTGCCGCAAATGCGAACGCTCCAGGCCAGATATTCGATCTAACTAAAGCTACTGCAATGTCTGGTTGTATGTATGTCGACTGTCTAACAGTCCACGGTATCACGGAGTCAACAATAGCGTCTTCCGATAAAGGAGTTAAGAGAGGCGGTCCAATCTCTTTTTCCATCATCTTTGTTTCATCTTTTTCTACATCTTCTTCTTCTTCTTCGATTGCTTCCTATGTAATTAAAGCTCCCTATCAAGCAACTTGATGAAGTACTTTTGCAAGTAATGATGAAAGATAGTTTTACAGTGGGAACTGAAATATTTAATCAACTAACGTCAACAATCTTTTCCTCCTTCTCGAGATTCCACCAGACAGTTCGTCCTTGCTCGAGAATATATGGACTATGATGACACCAATTTGACATGGAGGGATCTACAAGATCCTTGATCGGCAGTGGATCATAATTAATATTTTCTGACAAATCTTCTTCTGTGTAGACTATATGTAAATAATACTGTTTTTAAATAGTGTATAGAGTTAATTTATAAATAATAATTATTGGATTTTTTTCTGTCATTGTCTATTGAAAAGATAATTTATAACAAGAATTGAAAATTTGTTATGTATTACCTTCTTTCCTTTCTTCTTCTATCTCTTCATCCTCGTCTTCTCCACTGAATGTGAAGAAACCAATCGGCGAAACATGAGTGGTCGCACTGATTCTTGCAATTTGTGCACGAAGATAATTTTTCTCAGTACCAGGAAACGGCGGAAAACTGTGAATCTGTCTTGGAACAAAAAACAATATGATAAATTAGAAGAATAGCCAAAAGAATAGAATTGATTAATCAAAATAATTTTATTGTAGTTTAAAAGTCGTTCGTTGTTTGATTTTAATAACTGCTTTCAGGTATCTCTCCGCATAATTGCTATATATACATATATAGATATTGCTTAAAAAATAAATTTTTAATTTAACCATAAATCACTCCGCCGTCCTTGTTCATTGTTATCATACATCGTCTCGCAAAACTCTGATATCGTCATATATGCATACCATCACATATTTTGAATAACAAAGCGATATGTGGGTTAACTTTATAGATGCTTTATGGACGTGTTCGCAAATAACATCGCTCTAACTAGGGGTTCTCCTTCATTAAAAGGCATCACGTACCGGTGTCTCCAAGTTTCCCGTGCAGTATCGAACAATCTGTCGTGCAATTACTATCTGCTGTGGTGTAACCGTCGGAAGTTCGATCCACTCGTCTAACCCAGGCGTGTTGCATACAAAATACACCTAAATACGATTAGCTGTGTGATAGCGAGAGATTATAAAAGAAGCGTGCAACGTGACACTGGCCAAATATTAATTCATTACGCGGCCGTCAAATGTCATCTTTGATATTCCGATAATCGAGAACTTATAAATGCGCACTTTTTTATTGAGGCCACTCCCAATTCTCTCGATTGGTATTTTTGGCAATGGTATCCACGGATTAACAGGTAACGATGGAAAGACAAGCTCCAAAGGCTTTCCTTCTGACGTATCCTTGCGCGGATTTCCTGTTGTTTCGACAGTTCCTTCTATATCTTCCTTCTTGATTTTTCTTTCCGCTTCTTCCGCCGCGAGTTTCACCGCTGTTTCGACTTCAGCTTCCTTTTTTTCTCTTCTAGATTGTATTTCATGTTCCTCCTCCTATTTTTAAAGAAAGTGACATAACATTCTTAGAAGATTTTAAGATCTTACGTACATAATAATTGCATTATATGTTATTTATTCAAGAAAAGCTCATATAGGTATTTTAATTCTATGATAAATATTTTCTTCAATTCATGTTTTCAAGCTATATGGTAGAGAATATATAACAATTAAATAATGAATACAAAAAATAGAATATTTATTTAGAGATTAGATTAAATCGCTATATGCAATGTCTTTTGTGCGATACAAAGCAAGAGTTTAATTGTATTTTAATATTATTATTTTACTTGCAATCTTCGAGCAAGCTCATCCGCCTGAAGTTCAGCTTCCAGTATATAATAATTTTTAGGTTTTCCAAGTATTTTACCCCAAAATCTGGAATAGCAATTAACAACAAAAAGATACATTTATTGAATAAACATACAATGGTGCGATATAGTTTTGGAATATGATAGCTACATAAATCGAATACCTAATATTTTCAAGTGGCATTGTCGAGGCGAGTTTCCGAATCGATAAATTAAGCAACGCTATTTCGTGTCGTGGCAATCCTACACCCGTCTGCTCGAAGTAGAACAAAAGATCCAACATGTTGGGATGTTTCTTTTTCTTATCGACCTCCTCTTCGTCGCCTATTTTCTCCTGTTCGTCGTCGTCAATCCGCTGTACGCTCTACCATGATTGCAAGAAGATTGAAAGGTAAAACGAAGATTATAGTTTGCCTCGTTTGCGTCATTTACATGTATTTATCTGAAGAAAACTTGGAGTGTGTGTCGTGGTTTCATTATCTATTACTTGTCAAACCGCACCTGGAAGAGCTTAATGAGCTTCTTGGCATCGTCGTATTGCACGGGCGGTATGTACAGATCCCGAAGATAATCCGTCTTAGTCTTAAATCTCTCCTCTTTCAATTTTTTACTGTATTCCTCGAAAATATCAACAGCGTTTTGTGGCCGTTCGGCCAGTATTTTTGCCAAAAGCTCAACTAAATGGTCATATCTAAGAATAAAGAAGTAAATTAATAATAATTTATTTATTCCTGTTCAATAACTATTCTTTATTTATATTTAATACATTTTCAAGTTTTTATAACGTTAAAAAATATTATTTTATCATATGTTTAAAAAATATTATTTCAAAATTAATGCAATACAATCGTTTCTACTACGCTAAATTTTTTTCTGTAAAGGAGAAATATAATAAATATGTGAAATATATATTGAAATATATTGAAAATAAAAGTACGCGACAAAGGGAATACAATTGTATAGCTTTTATCGCAGGAAATTCAGTGATGCGCGTACAAACTGTCACCCGATTCCGTGCTGTGTTTCTGAAGAAATATCTTCGCGCGTCGGATATCGTGCTTCACGCTGGGAACGTCGTCGGGAGGTGCTTCTTCTACGATATAAGAATATGCCATTCTTATTATGCTGTTTTTCACGTCTCACCGCATGCAGCTAGCTCTGTAAAATTGCACGCGATGTCGCATCGCCGGATACTCAGTATAATATTATCGCACTAACGTAACCACTACGCAAGCTCTGTCATCATTTGGTAATATATCAACGCCAACTGATTTTTTTTAATCGACGCTGTTCATCCGTTTCTTCCGTTCATCGCCATCCTGTGTCGCGAAATCGCTGCGATTGCTGTTACAAAAATATAAAATCTTATCTAGTGACCTAATTATTTCGACACACCACACTGCTAAAAATGCTTTTAATCAGCTTTGTCGAAAGTAGATAGAACGATAGCTGAGATAAATGTCGCCTACGCATTTCTACAAACGGGAATCCATTTCCGAGTGACGATGTAAGAAGCAGACAGATGTACAAAAAAATATTTGAAAGAAAGCTCAGTTTAAAGTATAAATATATATACATATATAAAATTATTGAGTTGAATACGTGTAAATATAATAATAGTAGTAAAAATATATATCATGCATATACATATAATTTTTTTAGTATTAATTTAAAATATTTTATATATATCTGTATCTTTTAATCATATATATTTAATTATATTTTTTTTCTCTGCATCTATTGCATGATATAACAAAAATACAATCATTTTCTAGATAATTCTGTAAATAGGTAAGTTAAAAGGAAAATGTGAATGAATAATACGACTCGATAAAGATGAGTCGCACGCGTACAGTTTCTATCAGCTTGCATCCTGGAATATAGTTATCGTCTATCGGGTGTCCTAAATATGACGGACATTTTTCGAGGTCACTGGCTGTTTCCTTTGACGCCCACCCTTTTTTTACAGCGTAGAACGTGCCCCACCTTCAAAAACTGCCGCCACGATAAATGTCGAAGCTTTCTGATTGAAAAGTTCTGAAAATCTACGTCGTTAAAAATAGTTTCAGAAATGATGACTTTTATCTCTGCTTATTGTTTACATAATTATTGAATTATGAAATAAAAATTTTATATTATATTACTTTAACAGTTATGTTTCTAGCTGAAGTTTGGAGCGTTCTTGGAGTAAAAATTAAAAATTTGTTTTAACCAAAAAGGATTTATACAAAGAAACATATGTAGATAAAGACATAATAAATGCAACAAAAGACGTGCGGATATATCGGGTTAAATGGAGTACTTCCAGGCGTCGGCCGATAATAAATCATTATTCTCTTACCGTCATGCATCTTAAAGATTGTCCGCGCGCTTGTACATTTTGGCACAAAACGCAGGAACAGTCGTTATGAATTTTTTATTTACATGTACAAGTCATTATTACATATACTAGTACGCACTGAGCTTAATTGAGCACTTTTGGGGGCCTCAATTATTAATAAATTATTTTAATTTTACAGTCAAGAATCATAGATATTGTTTTTACACTTGTATATTATTTTTTACTACAAATTACAGGAATCAGCGTTTTTGTGAAGATTTGATTCTGCTCTCTTCTTCATCTTTTGTTATTTGTTTATTACTTTTAAATTGATTTTTTATTATAATTTTATAGTTTTTTATATAAATATATATCTATTCTCTTTTATAATTTTTTTTAATTAAGGCAATTTCTTAATTATTTTAAATAAACGCTCCAAACTTTATCTGCATAGTTATTAACGTATAACGTATATTATATGTATATTACATATAGTATATTATATCTACACTGATGTCTGTGCGCTGAAATATTTATACATGCATAACGGCATTGTCTTTTCCAGATATTATGAATAAAAACTACTATTTCAAAAAGTTCTCAATTGCAGTTTTTAATAACTTATGTAATTCTGCGTACACGTTTGCATAATCCTTGTAAGCTATCATGCAAATTGTTTTTCATAATTTTAATATGTCAATATTTGCTGAGGCATCTAAATATATAGTAATCATTGGTCATAATATATATAATTAAATTTACGAATATTTGGAAGAATAGCATTAAAGACAATGATCATGATGATATATTCTTGTTTCTCCGTAAAATTACCAAGCTTCTCATTAGATTCATGCCACAATTTTAATAACACTGTTAATTTACGCACATACTCTCTCATATATGAAATTTTCTATCGACATTGCAGCTCGAATGTATGTACAGTGCTATGGCGTGCGATGCGTTCGGCTTTAATTACCATTCGTTGTTACGCCGCCGGTCAACAAGCTGAAATTATGGCTGTGCCCTACCACCCGCGAGGCATTCGGTTGAACACGTGGCAAGCTTCAAACACATTGAATTGCGTATAGTCCAGGATTTCGTAATTTCAAGAGTTATAACAGGTGGTGTTGGACGAACGTATCACACATCATCCCACGTGTTATGTTCAACATGCTTTTCGGCGAGCCATGCAGCTGCGTCACTCCGCATTCCGCTCGGCACTTCGCCGCTGCATAATGCCACGTAATTAACAAAATGGTATGCCGATTAATAAAACGTGAGCGCATGATTGCCCGAGTTGGCATGTATCGGACGGACGGATTCGGAGCAGAACGGATTACCCGATTCGCCGAAATTCAATAGCCACCGCCGTTTGACGCGCATTGTTCGCGCGACGGCCAAATGCGTTAATTAACAAAAGGCCGTTAATGTATGAGCGTCTATCGCAGATGCGATTTTCAACCGATAACGATGATAAACGAGTTCGGATAATCCGACTCTCTCTCGTGCGCGGATTAGCGGAATAGTCCGCGATAGACGACAATCACGATATTTTCCTCGAGCATTCCATTTTCCGCAACTATCCGCGGTTAATGCTGTTACAATCAAGTCAGTCAAGTGTAAACGTTTTCTTGAAAATAAAAACAAAAATATTTTAATTAAGTACAAATATAACATATGTGTCAATTTTTAACGTTATTCTTTGCTGTTTGTAGAAATTATTTTATTGAAATGATATGTTAAGTCGTTATCATTATTTTAATAAAATTAATTTTAAATAAAATGTATTTATTCCAAATGTTTTTACTGCGGCTATTATTCAATATAATTTAAAATCTGATTTAATTTAATTTAATTGTTAAATATATACTTTATTAATTTTCAAAAGTTTTTAAAATTTTACTTGCTTATAAATTAAAGACTGTTGAAGCTTTCTGATGCTTTTAAAGGCACTGTTAAAAACAAATCTATCCAAGATTGATTAAAAAATTCTTATATAAAAGTAAGTCAATATACCTGCAAAATTTTATATAAAAGTTTTGTAAGTCGTATAGACTTTCTTTCGTATAAAAATTTAAAAATTTTTACAAATCCTGATATGTTAAAAAAAGTATAGATAGTGAGCGAAAATATAGTTTCCGAGATTTTTCTTGAAGTTCCTTTACACGCTTCACCGACGATGCTCTTAAAGAAGAGCGAAGAACGATAAATTTGTTAATCAAGCGGCATTGGACGCATTTCGAATGTAGACGACGAGTGCCGGAGTTGGTGCTCGTAATTCGCGGGGGCGTTGGAGTATGAATGAGTCCCCACCATTGTCTCTCTCTTCAAGCCATCTCGTTCTCTCGCCAGTCGACCACCCTGTCTCTTACCAGCCCTACTCGTCCCCTCCATATATCCTTATACTCTTCTTTTTCTTTTCTGTCTCTCCTTCTCTCTTTCCCTTCTTCTCTCTCTCTCTCTCTCTCTCTCTCTCTCTCTCTCTCTCTCTCTCTCTCTCTCTCCCTCCCTCCCTCCCTCCCTCCCTCTCTCTCTCTCTCTCTCTCTTTCTCTCTCTCCCCTTCTTTCTTCTTCGTATCATCACTCTTCTTTGGTCCCTCTGCCTCACACCCACACCGACCGAAAGCAGCTCATATCGGGGGTCGGTTCTCTCTCCAGGTTCCGCGCTTCTTTCGGTCAGTTTTCTCCCGTGAGTTGTACGCGCGCGTTCTTTCGTGAGGACCGGCTTCTGTGTCGTACAGTCTTTAGGCCCTACAACCACGAGAAACAGAACTAGTTGTGTTGAAATAAGAACTATTCCTCCCGGCATCCTGTGGATACCCGCAGAACAGGAGAGCCGCACTGTTCAACATGCGCCATCGACTTTCAAGGTGCGTTACATACAATAAATAATATATTTTTTTTATTTCTATTAGATTGGTGAGATAAATAAAGTACCTAAATTATCTTGATTAGATTGATTATCAACTTTCTTTTTGTTGCTCGTTGTCAAGTTGAGGCCTGAATATCTGTCCATGAAATAAAAGTGTATATAAGTAATTATACAAATAACAAAGTAATTATAAAATTACTTTGTTTATTATAAATACAATAATAGTAAAAAACAAATTATTACATATATTTATAGCTAGCAACGAGATATGTATTTTAATTATAGCATATTATCTAATGAAACATTGTACATTGTTTAATAAGTAACATACCTTAATATGCTGTAACTCTCCAAGTATCGAAGCGATTAAAAGATGAACCCTTGTTAAATAATATGCCATTCGAAATCTTTTTCATTCAAAATAGAAAATTACCCTGCTGTTGGACAGTTACTCTTGCAGTTATTAAAACGATTTAGTATGAAATGCGCAAGTTTACGTCTACTGGATCTTATTATTAAAAGTTTCACTTCTCCCGTCTTGAAATCGTTCGAACTTCGGTAATGTCATTCTAACTTGAAAGTGCAGTCTAACTTATTTGGTGGTAATTACGCGGCATTATACAGAAAAGAGGAAAAAATGCAAACGTATTTAATACAGCAATAAAAAACAATTCATTACGCAATGATTGTGTAAAGACATAAAACATTAAAACATAAACTGCCCTGAATCCATCTGACCTTAGATTCATACTGTACTTAAAAAAGCATCTTTTTTCTGTGATAATTTTTCTATTTTCTCCTTTTTAAGTTATTTTTTTGTAAAATAATTATCATCTTTGTAAGTTACATTAATTTTACCAATTTTATTGTATATTAGTCAAATTTTATTTTCATTCACTACTTCTGAGATGTCGTCTCTATACTAATATTCTTAAAAAATTTACAATTTTTTTTACATTTTAATCGGTTAAATACTTTATGTTTTATATTATAGAAAGATAGTGGTAAATTAGTATGGTATTTGTGTGATTTGTCGCGAGAAGTAATGTCACTCGTTACTATTAAGGAGTCGTTTCAAAGAACGCCTTACATTATTCATTTGTCGTTTCTACACGGCATTGGTCGATCGTTCGTAAATCGTTCGTTCCTGATTCCCCTCGACTCACTCTTTATTAAGACGTTCACGTTTAAATGAATGAGTGAATGAATGGATGAATGGATTTCAAGAAGCCGCAAGACCTCGATCTTTCTTTATCCTTGAGCCTTCCAGTAATGAAATACTGATTTATTACAAATTGCAAATATGCGTTAAATCGCTCACATTCATCCAAAAAGCCTTTTAGATGTATTGTGTTAGCGTACATCATTCTCACGCATATATGTAAAAGAGACACTTTACATTCTTATAAAAATAATTTTATCTTTAAGTGGTGTAAAATATTGGAACATGTTATATCCTTTTTTTTAATATATTAGAATTTCAATTTAAATTCTCACACGCATTTTAGATATTTTTTATTCTTTGTTTGCATTGTACGATCAATAGCATGAAAATAAAAAATTACCAGTAATGTTTCAATTAAATTTAGTTCAACAAAAATTAATTGATATTCCTACATCTTTTGCACAACAAAAACATAATTTATGCAATGAATTTGATACGACTAATGTAAAACCAACGTAAACAATTATATATGGAAATATTTTTCAGTATTGCACAGTTTAATTACCAATATTTCCGGTGTACACCTTGCATTTCATTTCTTATCTTACTGTTAATTAGATATATAAATCCAAATGTCCTTGTGTTTGCATTATCTAGTTTTATGTCCTAGAAATGATGCATGTGCACATTCGAGTGGAACAAATCATTTCCTTCTATTAAAGCGTAGCATTAAAAAAATAAAATAGGTAATTACCATTCTCTTTTCCATTGATGTAAAACCAATGTTTTATAGTTTACTTATACGCATATCTGTGTAGAGTCATATTAACGTTCGTATATTTGATGCAAATTTTTTCGTTGTAAAAATAGGAATAGCTATGATCATTGTTAGCATATGAAAGCAATTACCACGATTGTTATAAATTCTAAATCTGACAGGTTTTGTCGACGAGAATGTAATAATGACGATATAACTACTCATCTTAACTTTATTTGGAAAACAGAGATTTTAATATGTCATGTGGATTTATCAGTCAAAAAATTTAATGAGATACGAAGTCGCGCGCGATGGGATAAGGGAATAAAAGCGAAATTTGCGGCACCTCAGTATCGGAAGGCCGCAGGCCTGTGGTCCATGACCGGTCGACGCAGCCTCCTCCCGGTTCCAGAGAGAATCGGAGTCACGTTCAGTCAGTGGCCGACTCCCGTCCGTGGAGGTGGTGCGCGTTATCGCTCCTTCGGTTCCTCTCCCAACAGTGCGCCGAAAGGAGTTTTCCGGCTTCTGCATATATCCCAAGGCTCATCTTCATCGGGCATGACGAACATCAGGAGCACGTGGTTAGTCAAAAAAATTTTTTTTTGCGTCACTGTTGGTTTCCATTGCGTCACGACTATGCTCCGTTTTTTTACATCCAATTTTTGAATGCCGTTCTTCAATGCGTGAAGAATATCGAATGTTCGTTTTAGTTTTCTCTTTCTTAGATTCAGGTCTCAATCTCTCTCTTTCTCTCTCTGTCTCTCTCTCTATCTCTCTTCCTTAGGCTGGGAATCGATTTTCGTTTAGCCCGTTTTTATGAAGCGCACGGAAGTACCCAATTACGAAACCATTTAAAGGGAGTTTTAATTAAAGGCTGAGGTGGCTTTTGCGAGTGATTTGCTTGCTTTCTATCGCGCCGCTCCTGCTTAAAGATATAACGCGTAATTAATAATCACGTTGTATACAGAATGTTTATTTGCATTAATGAAGAATTTACCAAATGTTCGCATACTTCACATTCTTCTCAGCTTCTTCTCTCCTTTTCCTCGTTTCTCGTGGCAAATCAAAATTGTATGAGGCTATAGCAATACTGTTAAAACTTGATGTCGATCGTAATTGCTTGAATGAATAAACTGAGTTACTACAAAAACGAGTTTCTATTGAGTTCTTACTTCTACTAGTTATTACGTCTACGAGCAAATAATTTTAAAATTCTGGTGATTTACACACTTAAATGTATGTATCCGCGCTCGCATTTGTAGAATGACTCATGAAATTCTCGTCACAATTTGAATTATGCCGTAGTTTTCCAAATGGTTCGACCGTTAGATGTGTGTGAAAGTCCGTTTCAGAAAAGTTTTCGTTTCTGCTCGCCTAGTCGCAGACGTTTACGTTTCTTCCGACATGCACAATTCGCACATGTCGAGAAACAGGAGATGGTCTCGTGAGTTCTTTGAGACGCGAAGGGCGGATTGGTCGACATGTGTGTCTCCTCCGACCGACTCATTTGTCAAAGCGCTCCGAGCGCTTCCAGTTAACTGGACTTAACTTATTATATACTGCTTATTATTTATTTTCCAGTAAACCAGAATTATGTTATTTTTAAAAAACAATTTCGTATATTCGCACAATGCTGTGGCTACAAACTAGTTATCATCAACTTTTCACGTTGCGCTCATGCAACGTCTACCACGTTTATACAATGTACATATTTCTCTTGCTCTTAATTTTTTATATATAGATATATAATGTAAATCCGGGAGTTGTATTTTATTACTGTTGTTCTTTTCTCCATCTATTCTGTGCTAAGCTATCAGACAAGCTGCCTTCCTGGTGTATTGTAATAGTGACAATTAGATTACGTTACAACACATGAATTATTACATATTTACACAAAGTCAACGAAAATGTTTTGCCTTCGATTTACGGTTATAACAGTACTTCACTTGCGGTAGTTCTAAAGGGTTATTGTAACGAGCTTTCAGGTGCCATCCTACTGGCTAGCTTGGCAGGACAATGGTTTATGCTAATTCCTGCTGATTCTATGTAGACGTCTTTCCACAGTCTGTACACAGAATACGCGTGTAATGTGTCAGAATTTAAAATTTAACCGGCATCACAACAGTTGCAAACGATGCGAGATTCAAGCATTGCACTTGCGAGTTGTTTTGCTCAATAAAATCACAACTTGTATTTTATGAGAAATCAAAGAAAAAATATGAGTTTCGCGCTTCGTTTGTTTACTTTTTTATTTTTCATTTATTTATGCACGTTTGTGTAATGGTAAAAAAATGTTTTCTGTTTTATTTATTAATTAATTTTGTTATAATTGCTTTATCATTTATTTTATTTAATCGGATGTATAAATAATCCGATTCTTCCTTTGATGAGATTAACAAAATCTAATAAATGTCTTCTTCAAATTATGTATTAACTGCGCTAATGTTTATTACTAATGCATTCTTGGAAAGGAAAGAATCCCTTGAAGAAGTATCTGCATGCTGACATAGCAACATTATACAGAGTTTGTCATTTGCGCGATGCTGACACGTGAGAAATATAGTAACTGACGTTCTAATATCTTTTTCGAATTTCAAAAATCCGAGAGACCTACCTCGTGGAACAAAGGGTTGTAGGCTTATACCGAATAAACAATTTAATGTCGGCCGAATAAATACGTTGTTCCACTGGTCCCGCACTGTGTATATTCGCTCATAGAAATTTCCAACGCGGAAAGCACTCTGTCAGGTATACCCGGCCACATATGTTGCAGACAATCCTGCATTTCGTGGCTTATTTTAGTTTCTCTGGTAGAGGGGAGAGGGAGAGAAAGCTGTTATTTCTGTTCCATAAGTTAATACTCCAGGGCACAGCCCTCGCGTGTTTGGTTAAATACCAGGCACTGTTCCGCTGTTTCAAAACACTCGAAAGTATTACGGTTTTGTTTATTGTTAGGCTGTTTGTATAAATGAGATTATCGTACAGGAGGGTAGGAAGGCGCGCTGCGGGAAGTAATTTTAATCACAACTCCCGCGCATTCCTAGATCACGGAAGATACATCGCGCGACGTACGCTC